ATGGCTCTGTATCAAAATGTTGGTTTTGCCATTGCACTCTTAAGAGGTGTTTGCAGTTTTATCTTTATCTTTTAAAATATAATGCGTACACAGATTTTAAGCGTAAGTTTAAAACTTAGTTCTAACTCGTATCCTTAAGTAGTACATTTATAGCTTCACCCACTGAAGAACAAACAACAAGTTTAAGCTCACATTTTTGTGATTTTTCACTTGAAATTTTGGAATGTGACCTTTCCAAGGTGAAGAAGGGAGCTGAAGCCTGATGTTTGACTCTGCAGAAGAGTTTTTTCTGTTGCAAGTAGCCATGAGAGTAGGAAGTTAGAAGGCAGAGACAAGAGGTCAGACATAAGAGTCAAGGAAGTATGAATGACATCATCATCCCTAAGTACCCTCTCAGAAGATGAATGAGCTCTTTCTTGTATTACAATGCTAAAGAGCATTAGAAGGTGATATGATATCTAGACAACACATAAGATAAATGCCCCAGAGTATGCTAGAACAGCTTCCCCCCCACGCCCTCCACAAGTACATAAATCCTTTGATGGTCTCAAAAATACAGTATGTGGCTGATGAGTATATTATATTGTGGTCAGCTTCTTGACAAAATTCATTTAGATTTGACAAGTACCTTGAACATTATGTAATTTAGCTACTTAAGTCAAACAACTCAGTGTAACTCTGACTAGACTCACAGCCCTTTCGGGACACAGCGTGTATTCTTTTCACTAGTTGCTGAATAAAAAGTAAGCAGATGTCAACAGAAGAAACATCCCATCTTTTTTAAAGCTGGCACAAAATGTGTTTACCATGATAAAACTTGACACAAAATGTTCTCGTCATGATAAAAACTCGAAATACAAGTTTCATGATCTTAATGAATTCCCTTCTGAAGGGAATGCATGCCACAAACAAAACATGCAAAGTTACTGTAATATTGGTTCAAGGTATGTTCTGTCAGAAGTGGATTCAACCTGAATTTCAGTTGTTGTGCTTCAAAAGCCCAGTCATTACAGTATGATTTATGTAATCTTTCCTACATTAATTTTGGCATATCCAACGTTGCAGCAGACTTCACTACCCAGTCCCTTTTCTGCTTGTGTAAACAGCTCTATTTTCAGGAGGAAAACCTGATTGAAATATTTAATTGCATTCCTATTTTGAAAATTGAAAAAGAAAAATCCCTCATCAGAAAATCAGCTTGGAATAAAAATGGACTCTGGATCTGTGGTGTGTAGCTGTATTAGGGCAGAGTTCTGATGCATGATATTTAATCGCTAAAGTAATCTTTCCCTTTTCCAATATTTGCTCAGTTGTTACTTTTACAGAAATAAAATGATGCTCATTTGAAATAAAATGCAAGACAAGAAGACCCTCATTTTAGTTCTAACTAAATGCTGCAAAGTCCTTTATTCTAAACCAAAAACTGTCAGACTTTTAGCATTAATAGAAGAGTGGATCTTTCTTGACAAATGCCCCCATAAATTAGATATTAGCTTTAGTCAAACTCTGTCTGTCTCAAGAAATATTTCTACTTACATATTCAATTGGAAGGACCTTACATGATGCCCACTTACTGCTATGAAAATCTAGGCTTCTGAGATGAAGGCAAAGAAAAATTTCTCTGAACAAAAGAGTATCTGGAATAACAGACCTTGAGCTTATGCAGTGATTTCTTTTTATAGAATGTGAGTTTCACGCACTTTTTGATATGTCTGTCTGCTGCTCTGTCCACCTATCTATCTGTTTATCTATCACTATTGCAGTGGTTACATACAGTATCAATTGGATTTTAAAAGACATAGATCTTTTATATTAGCTGTCCTTTTTTATAATACCTTTTACAAATTTAATCAATGCATTTTAATATACAATATAGTTTAAGTGCAATATACAGTAAATATTCGCGCTTCATCTTAAACATGCTCTAGCCTTTAAATTGTTAAAACTGCAGTGCCCTTTCAATCTACTTACATAATGTCATAAAATATACATTTCAAGGTAAATGAAGTCAGCTACTTCAATTTAGTCCCTCAAACTGGTAGTAAATGAGAGGTTAACACTATGGTGCCAAACCCATTATTGAGTAAATTTAGCACCTTGGACAGCTCTGTAAAATCTTTATTGCTTTCCTGACCTGCTCGTCATGTTCTGTCTATGTGTTCAGTGGCTCTCAGCTCTGATTGAAAGGCAATATATTAGATCCCGAACACAAACATGCTCGGGGGCTGCTTCACTGTGAGCGTAATGACATGGAGGTGAGAACAATTTTCTGGTCACCGCAATCCAAGCACCTTGCAAGGTCTGTTGCTCTAACTTATAGAGGACTTTTGGGGCTCCTTTGTATGTGGAATCGTAACAGTAGCTTCTGTGGTAATTTAAGCAGAGCTGCGAAAGGTTTAAAATGCATTCAGAAAACAAGAAGTTAATATCTTGAGCATGTCTGTAGTAGCATTTTATTGCGTACTGTTAAAGCTAGTTTGCGTCTATAAGAACTACCATCAGCTCTGGAATAGAGGATACCGCTATTTGACACAGGAGTTTTTGTGTAACATCTACTTTGAATGATCTGTAAATGTCATAAACCAGAAATGCTTTCATTGTGTGAAAATATTGTTAGATAAATTATGAAACTCAAATTTACAGACTCTGAAAATGTTGAAAAAATATAACCATTGACTAGCTAGAAAAATAGAATGCTACTTGTCAAGCATATTTCAAGAAACCATCATGACAATTAGTTTTATTTATATGCAATATAATATGGCATCTAAGAACTTCCAACATTTAAGAATTGGAATATATTTGATATTAGATAGAGCAGCTGTAAGATTCTGTGTAATTACCTCATTTTTTAACATTGTCTTCAATCTTTTTTTAGATGGAGTCTAAGGTTTTTAGCTCAGTATTACATAAATAACTATGATTAGTTAGGTAGAGCAAAAATGAGTATTTAAACTTTCTTTTTTTTTTTTCTTTAGTAATTTCGCTTAATGACAGCTTAAGTTAACAATATTCCAGAGCAGTTTGTGGTCTCTGTATCATATTTTAATTTTCCATCAGTGAAATATATAGTGCAAACAATTTCTAATGAAGTGAAATAAATCCTAGTTTGCAAAGTCAAACACCTGTGCAGTAATTTTCCAGCTAAAATCATGGATTTTAGAAGATAACATTTTCCAGCAACATCTCTGTTCTCTAGTTTGCATCTTCAGTATGAGGCAAAAAGTGCTACTCAGTGTTCTGATGATTCTGGTAAAGCAACAGGGATTGATTGTACCTGGATGTTGTTCGTAGTTTGTCTGTCCATGATTATGCTGCTAACTGTTGTGGTCAAGCTACAGAAAGAAACCCCAAAACAACGACCTGAAACAGGAAGAAAAAAAAGAAAGCCCCTTAAAACCAAACAACAACCAAACAAAGAAAAACCCACAAAAAACCAAAACCCAACAGAAAAAGACTGTAGCAACTTAACTCCTCAGAATCTGTTTCAAATGTAGTGATTTAAAAATCCATCAATTATGTATTACATCTCACTTCATATGTGGAAAATAATTTAAATGTGTGTTCTGTAAGAGGGGTGTGTGCAGCAGAAGGCAAGCCTAAATGTTTACTGGGAGTACAAAAATCCTCCATCTCATTTTTGAATTTAGGACATTATATATGTCATAAGTAGTTACTGCAGTATGACAACTATTTTATCTTATATTATAGAGAATTTAAAATTGAAAAAAATGCTAATATGCATCTAAAAGCTTGTCATTTGAAGAGTTGTTCAAGGATTTTTGAAGAGGTTATGGTGACAGCAAAATGAACGCAATTATATCTCTATTTTCTGATCAGAGTCTACAGTATATGAAAATTGAGCATTACTGTTTCTTTTTGGTATAAAATATGGCTATTGTGTAAAATATTTTAAGTTTAAAAGTTTAACTTTCTAGAAAACTAAAATCCTTAGAACTGGTACTATTTTTGTAAGCTACTTGCAGAAATATACCTTGGTGAATAGCATCATGTTGGTATATTAGAGCAATACTTAGGGCCTGACAGCTGCAAAAATACATTGTTTTACTCAAAGGACAGTCTCAACTGGGTTTGATCTAACAATTGGGAATCTGCTACATGCTTTGAAAGAACAAGAAAAAAAAAATTCTTCTGGGTCAATTCTGCAATGCACTTTTACATTTTCTATCAGGATTGTTCAAGGAGATTTTCCACACTGTAAAATGTAACACAGGAAATGCTATTATTACTTGCATGCCAGCTTAAAATACTTCACGAAATAGTAAGTGAAAAGGAGGAAACAGGAAAATGGAGAAAAAAAATTGCCCAAAATAGAGAAATAAACCCAGGCTGTTTTTAATTCTGCTGTCCATGCAGGGAATTTTTCTGGGAAACACTACACCGTTCTGGGCCATTCTATGTGTGTGTGTTTTCCTCTTGTGTATCATTTTACATACATGGACCCTACCGTGACCCATCACATCAGGATACAAACCACAGAAGTTGAAAGGTTACATTACCAGTAGCATAGGACTGATTGGATATCTTTTGAATGTGGCCTGCTGGGTAAGGTCACAATTCCTGCAGTATGCAATTAAGAATAAAATAAACACATCGAAGGGATTCATAACATACTCTGAATGACATTGATTGCAGTAATCTAGTAAATGACCTCAGGATTGTATTCTGCAATAAACCAATGAGTGGTTTATAGTGCAGATGGTAGAGACAATTGAGTGATGTATTTTATTTTGCAGCACCAATGATTCTCACCTTTTGACTTGATTAAGCTTGTGTGTGAATAGGATGAACTAGTGATTTAACACCATGCAGTGGTTGCTGAGAGTTGTTGCAATTAAGGTGTACCTGGTGGGAGGAAAAAAAACACCGACACAAAACATGGTGCAACTAATAGAAGAGTATAAAAGATTCTAATATTTGTTTTTCCCCCTCAGCTGTTTATTGAACTCAGAGGAATGAATCTGTTTTTATATTGACAGGAAGTAATACTTAAGAGGGCTGCTGATTTAGTAGAAGCACTCTATGGTATGCCACATAATAACCAGGTAAATGCATTCTACTTCAGTAATTCTAAAACATGGTTATTTCTTAGACGTATAGATAGATCAGGGGCTAAAGGTATATAATACTACAGTATGAAACAAGAATAAATATAGAGGGCAATGCTATATCTGGAGTGGGGTTTAATTTGCTTGTTTTCTTTTTTAAAGGGTATGAATTTAGTGCTTGTAAAAGCAACGTGTTATTAACCCTGAAGGCATTTGCCCACTTTCACTAGATCCTGTATGATATGGGCAATGATAAGCATTGTGGTTTGCCACCAGTGATTTTTCACTCTTACGCTAAAGATAGCTTTAAGGTGGAGTAAGTCTGGGCTCCAGCCCCATTCTGCCAGCTGGTCTTGTTATACAAAAGTGTGGCCGCTGGGATTGAAACTTCCAACTCTCTTATCACAGATGTCAGGATTTATCACGAAGGCAGCAGATCTTACAAGCATTAGCTATCAGTCAGCCAACAGGTTTAGAAAGAAGAGCATCTGGGTTTTGCCTTTGGACACAGAAATATTTCATTTTAATATGTAAGAGAATGTTCATTAGAGTCACATTTATTCTTTTTTCCCCCTTCTCATCCTTTAGGAAATAATCCTGAAAAGAGCAGCAGACATCGCAGAAGCACTCTACAGTGTCCCCCGCAATCACAACCAGCTCCCCGCTCTTGCTAACACATCAGTCCATGCAGGAATGATGGGAGTGAATTCCTTTAGTGGTCAACTAGCCGTCAATGTTTCCGAAGCCTCACAAGCCACCAATCAGGGTCAGGAGAAGAATTATCTTCCTCTTTTTATGAACCTTTTCTGATAAAAGGCAGTGAAATCGGTGGAGCAGTGGAAGAGCGATGGTTCAAAAGTGAAGGCTATGAGAACATATGGACAGACATCATCCCACAAGCATGCACAACCTTTGAATGACACAATACAGTCATGAGATGGGGGCCTTTTTAATGACTTTTGCCCCAGCTTGGGAAAAGCACTTCTGTACATATGTAAATAGCTTTTCCTTCTGCTCAGAATAACACTTGTATTTGTGTTCAAATCCCACTAATTTTAAAAGGATTTCTATCTTGAGCATGTACTTAATGTTAAGTATTTGCTTATATATATTCCTGAGTGTGAAAAATCTCTCGGCCTGGCCCTAAGTAGCATTTATTTATAACACAAATGTATCCCTTGAATATTTGTCTGTTTGGTTTGGTTTGATTTTGTAAGGATCATAATATTGGCACTGATTTTTTTTTTTCTTCCAAGAGTTTGAAACTTTTCTAAATTTTGAAGCTAGCAAAAAATAGAAATATTTACAGAGACATTTTCAGAGCTTCTCTATTTTTTAAAGAAAGTGTTTTTCATTTTGTGTATAATCAATATTGTTTTAATTCCTACAGTTATAAACTAAAAAAAGGTGAAGAATGTTTTTGTTAAAACCCTTTACATTTTCCTTCTCCTTTGCTTAGCTCTATTTATTATCCAACTTAAAAATCCACTTTGATGAGAAAGTGTTAGGACAAGGTCATTTTCTAGAAGAGCAGGCAAAATTACTGTGAATTACACAAAATAAAAAAAATAGGAATTATTTTTAGATGAAAATATTTTACGGATATACTGTGTGGTAGGGAGAAAAGTTGGATTTTTTTCTTTTAGGAGTGAAGATACGTTTTGTATTTCTGTGCTTCTAGAAAAAATTTTTCCTTTTTGGATATGAGTTTCCACAAACAGCTTTTCCAGAATTAGGTTAGATATTCAGATTTTAACTTGCTGCCAAATTTCATAGTAATTTTGTACCAACACAATGATCAGACCAGGCCAAAAAGACAAATGATATCCCACTACTTTGAGAAATATACCCTACATTTTCTGAAGTGAGCAGTGAGCATCTAATTTGAGATGCGTTAAATGAGAGCGACATCAGAAGAGAGTTAACAAAAATCACACGTTTTCAGCATACCTTAAGTCCATATATACTCCTCACTTCAAAATGTAGGTCATGTTTACTCCATTTCCTACAAACAGCTTTTTTAGAGTGAGTGTTCTTATGTTACCCAGTGGTAATATTTGCTTGAGGACGTGGGTTGCCTGAGGAGCTGTGCAGGCTGTAGCCTCCTTCCTCCCGCTTTATGTGCCAATCAGCCATGACCTAGGCAGTGAGGGTTCACTGTTTAGGCTACTTGGTGGTAGTGGTGGTCAGCCTGGCCCTCCACATGCACACCATGACTAGACTAGGATGCTGGCTTAGTAGCCTAGAGTTACTTGCTTGTAGCTGTTTGTGTAAGAAACTGTTCTCGGGCTAATTCCAATTTCTAAATATATTCCCTCCCCACAAAAGGTTTTACTCGCAACTCAAGCAGCGTGTCACCACATGGCTATGTGCCAAGCACCACCCCTCAGCAGACAAATTATAACTCTGTCACAACAAGCATGAATGGCTATGGGAATGCTGGAATGTCAAATTTAGGCGGTTCTCCAACCTTCCTGAATGGATCTGCTGCCAATTCTCCCTATGCCAGTAAGTGTTACATGGCTTTTCTGTGTTTTGCTCATTTTCATTAGAAGGAGACAGTGACTTTTCTGTGATACTCAGTATTTAGTTTCTATTTCGAGCACTTGAAACAGAGCTTGGTCCTTTCTCTCCTTTCCAAGGCACTGACCTTAGAGGAATTCCAAAGACATTAATGTTGCCAGCAATGCTCTTCTCTGCTTTTTTTGTTATTATTATTATTAAAGAGGCTCATAAGAGGTTAAAAAGAATAATGTCTCTCATGATTTGGGCTCATAATTTCATAATTTACCTTATACTCTGTAAATAAGAAACGTCCTCAACATTGCTAGAAAGCAGGGATGGCCTAAGTGACCTAATGTCTGTTGGAGTGGATCAGAAGTCAAATGTCAGTACACAACTTTGTTGTGGTGGATATGAAAGGAAGCTAAAGATATTTCCTGCAGAAAAAATAGTTTTTATCCAGCTGTAAGATATGAAGAGCAGAAAAGTTTACTATAATAAGACTGACATTTCCATAAGCTGCGTGATGATGTTTCCAAGACCTCTGAGCAAATAATATGTTCATAACCTTTATAGATATTATGAATTACTAGGAGGCCTAATCTTGATTGCTTATACTCCATTTGCTTTGTAAGTAGGTATTACATTGGCTTCACTGAGAGCTTAGTATTAGTCAGTAAAATGTGACAATGGCTCTTAAGAGTTTGTGTTTTAGTGTCTGTACAGTGAATGCCACAAAAACGTAAGTCATACAAATCATATATTCCATGGCTTAAAGAGCTTATGGTCTACAGCGCCAGTTACGGAAATATTTATGTGTAGGACTAACCTTCTGCATTTGGAGATTAAAGGTTTAGTAACTTGTTTAAATATAAATACATTTCTGTTGGTAAAGGCCTATGAACCTCTTCTGCAGTTGCTCACACAGCACGTAGTCCCTATTCATATGAGAAAATTAAATGAATAGGACCTGACCGATTACATTGACATTACTCATGTGGCATAAAGGATTCCACTGACATCTGTAGAAAGCTGCTAGCAGAATCAGGCCAGAAGGCCTTATGACGTAAATAGGTTTATAGGCTGAGACCCTACTAGGGACATGACAAGCAGACTGCTGAATGTACCAAGGCTTACACAGCATATCTTTATTTTAGCAGTGTAACAACAGAAATTAATTATTTTGAATTGCATTATTAGAGTTCAGAACTGAAAAGGGGGTAGTAAACCTTGTCATCCAAGGCTTCTTACCTGCTGCACATTTAGAGGAAAATATTTAACCACATAACTAGTACTTAAAACCTGGGAATTGCTAACCAGTTATTATTTTTGTGCTCTAATAATAATGTAATGTGCAATGTTACAAAGTACCTTATTTATTAAGTTGAATTTACTGTCATAGAATCTGCGCACTCTGAATTCATAATGTAACATGATTGATGGGACATCTCTTTTTGGAAGCAGATGCCAGTAATGCATTTAAAATACTCTAGCAGTGTATTATTTCATATTTATGAACAAAGTCCTCTTCAGAATAACACTTCGCTTTCCAACCCTTGTTCTCTGTTCTAGTTATATTTTCGGAGGTTTTCTTGGTAGATCTGTCATTCTGCTAATGCCTAATCCATTGAATCAGAAAATGCTTCAATCATGACCTGAAAATTAAAAGGTGGCATTCTTAATTAAATCAATAAACTAATTGCTGTATAGTAGCAATTCAATTTAGGTGCTTTGATTGCTCTCCTTTAGCAAGTACTTCCAGACACAGAGTGACTTCAGTCTAAGATTGTATCTGTCAGACTGTGAAACTTTGAACATTTAATTTCCATTAATTGATTTCCTCAGTGTTAACAAATATGATATCAGATTCTCAAATAAGAACTTAAATAGGGTGATTTTTATCTACATAAATGCAAATAAAATAATAATTCAAAGCCCAGAAGATAGAATTTTACTCTGTAATATTTAATTATTCATAGCCCTCTCATGTATATAAGCAGTTTCTAAACAGGATGAAGAATGAAAGGATGGGCTCTTACTTTAGGTTCTTTCCTTTTTGTTATTGTTGTTGGATAAGAGGGAAACTGGCAATACTGTCTGAATATAAAAATATTTGGCTTTATTTTCATGAAAACAAATTCACTTAAAATCTCGGTGGTAAATACCGAAGATATTTATGCAACTACAAAGTATAATAACAGTTTAAGGATATAGGTATTTAAAGACAGCCTCCTGTATAACAGGTTTGCATCTTGGACAATCAGTTCAGTCCCTAAAAAAAGGAAAGCCTTACATCTACACTTACATAGAAAAAATTGCAGATTCTGATTTTATTCAATCTTGTAATTAAAACCAGATCTTTATTTTGTGTATACCACAATGGCTTCATCACTTAGCTATTCCAGGTGAGATTCCAGTCAATGGCTCTGAATAAGAATGTTGTATTGACTGTATTCAGACAGTGGTCATAGATCCTCTGGGAGAATTATTTGTCTTGAACATTATAAAGTAGACTTTCATTTTCAAAAATCTCCATCTCAGGTGAGATATGAAATCCCAGCTCCATTCCTGTGCATAAATACAATGGTCACAAGAGGAATATGGCTGGTTTTCATGTCACTGAGAATTCCTGGAAAGTGCCCACAGCAGAAACTTTCCCAAAGCTGATGGATACAGGGAAGCTGGAGTCTGACTCGTTTAGTTAAAACAGAGAAAGAATCTGTGGCCATTGTGAGGAAAGTTTAGTGGTTTCTCCCATCGGGAGATAAAAGAAAAGCATGATTTCTGTCAGTTATCTGCACTTTCTTTTTGTGCAACAGACACACCAAAGGAGAAAATAAAACGGTTAGAGCAGCAGTCTCACTGATTGCTTCATGCTGGACAGCCTCTGTGTGTGTGTGTGTGTGCTTGTGTGTATTCACAGCTTTTGGAATAACTCCTTTTAAACCCTAGTTCTTGCAGGGTTTGAGGGAAAAGAAACCCAGCTATTTTTGCTGACTTTTGACAAGCAGGTCAGCTGGGTCACTGCTAAGACCTCTACCTTCAGCAAGTTTGCTAGAAATCCCATAGGTCTTTCTGGAGTAATCTTACTACAAGGAAAGCACAGCTTAAAATGCTGGGTTTGGAGGTTATTTAAAAACTAATATCTTTCCAGGGTAAACATTCCAGATCCAGATTTGTACTCTAACTCTTCTTGCCCATCAGTTTTATAACCTCTGAGTTACTCACACAGTCTTATATTCCCTCTTATCCATGTAAGCAAAAATGTCAACCACTAGAAAAGTTTGAAACAGGATGGCAGGACGGGGTTGTAATAAGAATAAAGATTTGGAGCAACAGAGAATTAAGGGTTTGTTTAAGAGCTCATAGAGTTACTGCCTCTGAACACCTGCAAAACAAAACAGAATGAAACAAAATGAAACAAGTGGGGTTCCTGTAGTGATTGTCCAGGCTTTGTGAACAATCAGAAATCTAGCTGCAGTAAAGGCCTTGGCCTTGGTCTTGAAATTAGACCCAGTGCATCCAAGCAGAATTGTCTGGTTTCTGCAGCTTGCTAATTATCTAATACTAAGGAATGTATTTTGGGGTGTCTTTTTTTCATCTAGTTGTGCCATCAAGTCCAACAATGGCCTCCTCCACTAGCCTCCCCTCAAACTGTAGCAGTTCCTCTGGGATTTTCTCCTTCTCACCAGCCAACATGGTTTCAGCGGTGAAACAGAAGAGTGCTTTTGCGCCTGTTGTGAGACCGCAAACTTCTCCTCCTCCCACCTGCACCAGCACCAATGGCAATAGCCTGCAAGGTAGGTGAAACCAAGTCTGGAGCATAGCTGGCTGCTTTCAAAACCATGAGTTCCAGGTAGCTTGTAAGGCTCTAAGAAACACTGAGTTGTCAAAGGGGATTGAAGCCAATGGGGGATCCCTGGTGGTCTCTGTACTAAAGTTTTCTCCTGTAAAGAGTAACTGGACTCCACCACCAGCCCACCTAGTATCATGCAGGTGTTTGGCAACCACCCTGTCTCTAACTCGACTAATACTGCTGAATTGAGAGCTTGTGTCTTTTAAAGCACACACCTACTGTTGTGATAAAATCGAGTAATATTTCAGCTTACTAATACCATCCTTTTTCTTTCTTTCCTCTCTTATTCCTTGTTGTCGTCCTTTATCAGACCAGTCTTTTGTGGACTCTAGCAAGTACTCCACTGCAGGGTCTCTCCAGGGGCTGGCCTTCTCCTGAAGTACGTCACTCAATCTTCCCTTCCTTTTTTTTCCTTTGTCATAGTACACTTGTGCAGAAATCCTACTGAGAGCAAATAGACTGTTACAGAGCTTGGCACAAACCTTTGCCTTTCAGGAATAAAAGACACATTACAAACTAACAGCAGCATTTCCCAGTTTAACTCATAGCAGGGCAAACTTTAGTTTCCACTGATTAATGTACTTCTGTGCCAATTAATTCCATAAATGGCACAGGACCTTTTTGAAAGTCTATTCAACTGTTGGTATCAAGAGGCTGTTCCTTTTCTGCATCTCATCCTCTTTTATTGCAAAATATTCCTGCATCAGCACCTAAATATGTTTTGAAGCATTGATGCAAGCATAAAGAGTGACAGACAAAAGCTTGTCAAACTGAGGATGCTGCAAAGACCAGCACTGCCCATTCCATTGTTTGGTTCAGGCTGTTTTACAACACTGTGCCTAAACCTTCCTGTGTAATTACCTCACTATGCATTAGCGTGCCGAGAGAGATATTTTCATGCTCGCTTAGACTGAGGAGTTTCTATAAGCAGATGCAGCCAGCTGCCTCCAACTGTGCCAGAGGTGGGAAAGATTTTGTGGTACGCGTTGTGCTTCCCCCAGACCTGAGGTCTGTTTTCCTTTCCACGTGCCTGTGGAAATTATCCAAAGAGCATCGAGCACGGAATAAAATCCATCATTTTTAAAGCCATGTTCAGAAAGAGCTGTGTAGAGCAGGAGGAGGATACTTCCGCAGACTCCACATGTCACTCTACGGCCTCTGGAAAGAGAAACGCTGGGCTTGCGGGCATAATGCTGATAGCACCATTAACAGTCAAAAAAAATCTATATGCAAGCTGAGTGGAAGCAACTCATTCATAAAAGCTGGGATTTATTGTGACTGAAGGAAAGCATTGTCCTCAGTGCATTTTACATTGGTGAATTGGAAGGAGGAATCCTTGCAGATGTACACAGAGGCACACAGAAATTGTGAAAATAGTAGGAACATATAAGCAGAACTTCTGTTCAGGACTGCTTATAAATACAGGTTGCATCAGGAATAAAACACAACAATATTTTCAGGTGATCTGTAGTGTTTAGATTAATTTTTGTGCATTTAAAGGATCTGGCACTGCCGACATGCTACGAATTTTAAAGCTACAAATATTTCACCTCCAAATTCAAAAAATAAAAAAGGAGCTCAGAGTGCACTGCTAGAAGCTTTTGAACATGTTAATGTTTTTTTCGTCTCTTCACCTAGTCTCAGCTTGCTGTTGCGGGGGGAGAGAAAAAGCAAGTAACAGGAGAAAGCTTTTTCAGGCACTGTTTTTTCCTTTTACAAGACATGGAATTCTCAGATTCCACATACTCAGTTATGAAAAGCAATTATGGAATGAACTGAGAGCACCAAACAAAACTGGGGCTTGCTGATTGCCTCCTCATTATGTCACATCCACATCTGTGATGCCAAGAAACCACACAGATCTGAGTGTTTCCCCTAATTTTTTTTTTTAGCAATTCAGTTTTCCTAATAGGAACGAGACACCAAGAGATGGTTCATTTCTAGGTCATCATTGAACTTCTTGGTGAGTAAAAACCACACAGCCTTTAGTCCCATGCCTTCTGACACCACCTGAGGCTTGCAATAATCACTCAGAAATGCACTGCCTGTTGTGTCTTATTGCTTAAATAAACAACCATGTATAAGGAGGCTGTCTTATCTCTCTTGGGCTTCTGAATACATCAGAAAGCAATCAAGCTTTCCTTATGTAGCTTAGATATCAGCAGAACTCACTAAAACAACAGATAGGCTTATCTGTTGTTCTCTTTGCCATGCAATTCTGTAAAACTCAAACCACATTATTTCTGTAATTTGCTAGCAGCAAACACAAATTAGTATATGATAGAAGACATAGTGCCCATTGGTGGGAGTTTTTCTACTGTCTGCCTTCCCTTTTTGGAAAGGATGTGATCTCATACCTCCACTGTTTCCCACTGATATCTCTGTTTTCAGGATCAATAACATGCTACAGCTGAGAGAATTTGCATGACTAGATGTAGCACTTAAGGAATAGAAGTAGGTTGATATACATGAAGACTTGGAAAGGATGGAAATATCAAAGCTTTTAGGCAGAAAATATATCATTTGCTTTGTAATTTAATTCAGAATTTCAGAGCTCTTAAAAAATAATAATGCTTTGAAAAAATGAGCTAAGATCTGCATCTATACCATTTGTTTCCAATGGCAAAAGGCGTGTGGCTGATATGTAACTGCAGGGAAACGTCTAAGCCACGAAGAGAGGAGTTGCAATTATGTCACCTTTATTTGGGCTCTTATCCAGGGTAGACAGCTGTGCTGTCCCAAAAGGCAATTCTTGACCACTTTTTGGTGAAATTGATTTGGTTCTTATGAATCTTTTAGCTTGAGAATTTTTTTGTTGGAATAATATTTTGACATTTTTTTCTGAAGTGTAGGTATTTTTTTCTAAAACAAAACAACATCTTGTTTTAAAGTTTTACTGCATTTAGAATTTAGAAAGGGCTGGAAAGAACAAAATAGTGGAAGAAGTATGCACGGAAGATTAATTACCCATCTGACTCTGCTCAGTTGCACTCATCCTATATAGGAAGACCCTACCCATTCCCATCTGCTCTACTCCTTGCTTACCTGAGCAGTAAAGGAGGGAATACTGTTGTCAATATTGCTTTTCTCTGCACAGTAACTGGTGTCCAAGCACTGCAGTCCCACCCCTGTATTCTGCTAAATGGCTGCCATCCAGAAATCTCCAAATGCTTAAGTAATATGGATAAGAATTATTATCTTTGGGTAAGAAACAGAAACAAATCAAATTGCTTGATGAACTAGAAGGAGAACTGGAACAAAGCCTACGTCTCAGGTCTATGACCACATGAGTCTTTCATATATCCAGACAGGGAAAATTGCACTCCACCCTTCCCTGCAAGTAGCTGACCAGAATTAGTGTGGTTGACTGTGTCCATTGCTGTCAATACCTATTTTATTGACTCCATAGATGTCTGTGGTTCAGGGTCCATACCATAGCCCATATGTAAGTGTGACCCATCCAAGAGCAGAGTAGGGAGCAACCACAACAGTGAGAGCTTGGATTTGCTTCATTTTCGTTACATATTCCAAGGGGACAGCCCAGTTGTGAGGATTCAGAACTTGTTATTTGAGAACTGTTGAAATAAAACCCTTTGAGAATTTTTTTAAGCAAAACTCATGTTGTTTCACCCGATGTTGATTAAATAGGCAAGGATTCTAAAAAAAAAAATAAAAAGGCAATATTGAATTCATCCTTGATGAATATGATTTGAGATAAGGGAGACAGAATAGCCATGGATATAAGATGAAAATGCATCCTCAGATTAGCTCCATGGTAGAGCCAAAAAAGCCCATGACGGGAAATATCTCAGCAAGGAACATCTAAGACACAGTAGTGTTCTTTATGCTACTCACTTGAGTGTCTTTCTATAGGGCTTAAAGAAGCTTAACTCACCTCTCTATCCCTTTTATCCTCATTCTCAGCTCCTTGAAGAGCTCTTATGTGGAGCAGAAACAATCAGTTCAGTGATTTCACATAAAACCATTGCTGAATGATAAATTCTAAGAATTGAAATGCTGCTGTATAGTTGCAACATGTCACCTCTGAGGATGGCCCGTTGCAAACATGTGGATATGTTTTGCATTCTCGCCTTCTCCTCTCATTTTATTTCATTTAATCAGTGCAGTTTACTCGAGCTGTTCTCCCCTTGCTGATTAGACTTGTAATTTTTGCACATATGGTGGTGTTTGTGGAGAAAACATTTCCCTCCTCTCCCCCTTCCAACCCCAAATCTGTGAGTCTTTTACTTTGGCTCTGTTCTTATCAAATAATTGCAGCTGTAATTAAAGCACAATGAATCAGCAACAGTCACAGGGTTGAGTTCTTCCTTAAGAAATTATATGTCCAGATGTCTGAGATGGCAGGCAGTCCTAGCATTTAAATAATGTGCTCATGAAGTGCCTCCAACCTGAAGGCGAATCTGTTTTCTACCTTTTGGCAAATAACCATGCAACTGACATCTTAAAGATGCATTGTTGTTACAATTTTCATCCTAAACTTGCATGACTACCTCCTGTAATGATGTGCCTGCTCACAGTATATCACTTAGAATGTCTGATCTGCAGAGTTCCTGGTAAATAGAGGGAGACCAAGCCAGAGGTCAAGCTACGTGGGAGACTGTACCTGTTGACTTTAAATGAATGTCTTGTCTTTAAGAGACGTGATGATTTTGTACAAAATGAGGTTAGGAAGCATAATAAAGAAATATTGATGATTCAACTTAGCCAACAAAGGAGAAGACAGTCTAAATCAACATTAACATACGACTCATTTAATGTAGTTGGTGGTGTCTCCCACAGGTGTAATAATAAAACCATGAGATGCTGGTCTGTTAAACTAGCAGTTAAGGACATATTTCAATTTGAAAATTGGATATGAGAGTTTAAGTCCTTTTCTGAGCACCTGGAAATACATACTTCAGTCCCAGGGTTAAACACTGAACACTGAACTTGTAAGAGAAAACTGGCATAGGAAGAATGGAGCACTGTTGGGGTGCCTAATGCAAGGAACACCCTACCAGGTCTGTAATATTGACGGCCTATGGGACTCCAGCCATTTTCTCATATATGGAACAAGTATCTGCTTTGCTTTTAAAAGAATAATAGAATGTGTGGCAATGGCTGGGCCAAGTTTAAGCCTCCTGAGCATTTTTGAGATTTTGAAACTAAAATCAGAAAATTAAGTTGGGGTCTGATTCTCATATCAGGGGAAGTGTAATTTTTCTGCAAAATATAACTAATTTCCACAAAGTCACTTGCAATTTAAACCACTTTCTGATCAAAATGAGGGTTCCTGTGATTATTGTGTACATAGTTGTGTCTACTCAATGATACTTATATTATAAATGCAATTCACAGTACAGCTGAGTATGTTACTAGTAAATGTTTAAAATGTCTCTGAAGATGTTGAAAGTTGCTTGATAATGCACAAAAGTAACTTTTTTTCCCCATCTCTCTCTCCCCTCTCCCTTTTCCCCTTTCCTTCTGACAGCTATATCTGGCATGATTGTTCCCCCCATGTGAAAGAATTGCCTTGAAGAATTTTATTAATGAAGAGGTTGAATTCTGCTTCAGAGAGAATCTGATACAAGTCCCAGAGTGGAACTTTTTACTCAGGCCTTTTTAAAAATAAAAGAAAAAAAAAAAAGAAATAAAGAAGGATCTTACAATAACTGCAGATTTTTAAACAAAACAAAAATCACCATCCTTGCAAATACTGAAATTACCAATCTCCAGTTGCAAGGTGTTGATTCAAGTTGTCCATCCCAAATACCTGGGAGATATATTTATTGTATGTTGATAAAAAATCCACTTTTTTTTTTTTTGGGGGTGGGAGTGGGGGTGGGAGCTGGGGACTTGCTTTTATTTCCTCCTGGTTTTCGTGGTTTTTTTAAGGCTTGATTTAACTCAACACCATTTGTCTTTTATAAATCATACAGTTACACAAGGGACACTAGAGATGGAACTCCGCATTTTTAATTTATGATTTATTTTTTTTTAAAGCTGTGTAAAGAAAAATGAAGTGGTGTCATTTACATATAAGTCTGTATGGGACAGAATAGAAGTGCCAGTTAGTTTTTCGTAGAAGAATTATGGCCATTTAATTAAGGGTCGGCTCATATAGGTTGCTTATCCAGTGGCGACTTCCTAATATGATGCATTTTTAATGTTCTAATTAAATAGATATCACTCCTGAGAAAGCTGGTATTTTTGGATGATGAGGGCGGAATAAGGGGTGGGATTAGTAACCTCTGTCTTTAATATCAGACTAAATGACTGTGTAAATAATGCCACAAGAGAAGTGGGTTAAAGGGAAGGTAAGGATGCAAATATCAAACACATTTCCTCTTGAGCTGAAAATTCAGTGCCTCTAGATAGAAAGCTAAACCTGCAAGATTAGGTGGGCATGTCTCTAGTTTATATGTCAGACTCCTTCCAAATGAGTGGCCTTCTCAAAGTTTAGTGTTACCTGAGCTGTGCATAAAATGCCATTTGGATTTTGCACAGCTGTCTAACGATGACACAGACTGGCCATCCTTGACATGTGGGGTGTTTTCAGCACAGCCCCACTCCCGTTCACCTATTTGTTGTTATGGGGCAGAATGAGACCAGACACGTCTGTGTTTCTGCATCCTCACGATCTAAAAGCACATGTTTTCGTCAGCCTCCCACTAGGATTGTTCCTGTATCAGTCGACCCTCTCAGTTTGTATCATAATATATTAAGCAACAGGTAACTGCTTTTGAATAATAAATGGAGACATGAGTTTGGGGGTGGGGGTAGGGTTGTTAGGAAGGTTTCAAATCAAACCCATAGCTTCTGTTTTACAAAAATTTTGCTATCATTATCTGGGAAGTGTTCTTAAAAACTATTAGTCAAAGAGGCAGCAAAGCTCTGAAGATGCATTACCTGATATTTTTTCTTTGCTGTTGTGTTTTGTATGTAGTTATAAATACTGTAGATTTTTTGTGATTTTTTGCCAAAGTTGTTGTTCTATTTATACATTTTAATGTCTTAAGACAGTTTTTCAATATCACAAAAAAAGAATTTTACTGCATATTTTGCAAAAAGAGCTCACTACCTTTAGCTTGCACATACTTGCAAAATTAATTAAAGAAAAAAAGCGCTTTTTTGTTTCTGTTTTTTGTTTGTTTGTTTTACAGGGGATTTTGTAAAATATCCATATAAATAATGTATTTATCTTTGGAATTTGTACATTGCTTTTTTTCCCCTACCAAGTTTATTTTATTGTGTACGTTTGCTATGTGAAAAGTGCTGATTTGTTTGGTCATTCACCGTTGTATTAGCTGTTTAAATGTGATTTTAAAACATTTCATTTATAGGGTTGTTTTTTTTTTAGTATTGTTTAAAACCATGCTTCCATTTTTTTTTAATTTCCACCCAAAAGCCATTGTCTATTTTTGTATTATTTGTAAGTTAAGAAGTTTTTTCCAATATATGGCAAAAAGTAGCATATTATTCTTGTAGCATTTAGTTATGTAGATTTTAAAAGAAATGTATCCTTTGCTTTTGAGGCTTAACAAAAACTAATGCTGTTTTACTCTATTAATATGCATGGGATTTCTCCTCTTTGGAGTGACGCATTTTTGTGCATTAAATACGGGGAGAAACTTCATAGAACTCAATGAAAATACTTTCTTTCTTAAGTCTGCTTGTATATTTCTCTGTCTTTCACATAAATATAAACCAGCAGATTGGATGCCTTAACAATGCAAATCATATTCATTTCACTTGTACATTGTACTGTGCACCAGAACTGTCAATCATCACTAACATTCTAAGAAAAAAGAAAAAAAAAAAGGAATTGAAAAGCACAAAAGAACTGTTTTGTTACCTTAAAACAATATAACTTTTTTCTAGTCGAGCGAGAAATCATTTACAACGATGCTGCAACTGTGCATGCTTCCTGTATGAATTTTGCAATGGTTTTCACTAGAATGTCACAGTGTGATCTTTGGGGGGAAGGGAAGAAAACAGGATTTTTTTTTTTTCCATGGTGAGAAAATAAAAGAAGAAAAAACTGGAAAATGTGAGAGACATCAATTTATTGCTTCTCTGTATTCCAAGCAATTATTCTAATTCACATAGTAAGCAACAGCACGACAATGTAATCAAATTTAAAGCCATATTTTGTCCAGTGACACCATCAATTACTCTTGTAGAGCTCCACTCAAAGTCATAGCGATTTTGACACCAGTGTTAGCCATCGATGTTTGTAGTCTTCTGTGCCAGTGTCCAAAGACCCTTTGACAATGTGCATAATTTGTTTTGTTGCAGCTATTTATAGTGATCTGAAGGATGGGAATTTATACAAAATCTCCCCTGCACCACCCTTATCTTTTACAAAGTAAAAGATGCAGCTGTTTACAGAATATGGCTTTAAGTGGAAACATTCAGATTTCAGTTTTAACAAGGTGAAGCTTCACAATGACTGGATCGCATAAAGTATGCCTATTTCCTCACAGTTGTACTAGGATGCAGCTAAAAAGAAGTCATCTCTGAAACTACTAACCTTTCACCTTCTTATCTAAATCTTTTTGAATAGACACACACACTGTACAGTTCTATTGTTAGAGAAACTAACTACTGTAGAGATTGTTATAATTTTTTTGCAGAAATTCAAGCTGTAAAAACTTTTCAACTTTCACAATATTTAATTAAAGTTACTTCCTGTCTGTGAATACAGCTCCTAGTTGTGTGGTTATTTTCCTGCTTCTGCTGGCTAGTAGGTGAGGAAAAATAAAATATAGAAGCCACGGGCTACTGAGTTGTCTTCTGAAATTAAGAAGCAGAAATTCATGGAATTACACAGTGAAACATGCAAATGCTGGTGCACTGAAACTCCTCCTCCTCCATCACTAATGGATTTCAAAGGATTCTCACTCATGATGCTGAATGTTCTTCCTGTTACTGTTGTTATTTCTGTTTAGTCTATTGGTTGCCTAAAGGGACAACATATTTTTCCAGTGGATTTCTGGAGCATGTCTAGCTTTACATACTCAGTTGCAAACACAGTGATCATGATATACAAGGCAAAGGCATATTAGATCCGGTGCCAGAGACCCAGGGAGATTTGAGTTTTTCATCTTAGTATTATTTAAGTCATTGGCAACACTTCCAGGACCAGGTCTTAAGTGACCTACTCAAGGCAAGCTCCAAGAACTGCACCAAAATACGTTGAGCTGTAACTAGCTCCTTGGCTTGACCATGAAGGAGGTTCCTATAAAGTGTTTCCATTCTGCTGACCCTCCTAAATGACAAATCTACCTGCTGCTAAATTGGTTCTAGGTGTTTCATTTCATTCTGTACTCCTCTGGCAGGAGAGGAAAATAAGGAGCTTTACCTCTGCTATTTGGAACGTTGACAAAAATGGCACTTAACTGGGCCTGAACAGAAGACCTGTATGGGGACAATCAAAACCTTTAATCACTACACCTAACGCAAGGCTCCAAACATTTCCAAGGGAATGTTGGGGTTGCAGTTTAAATTAAAATTTACTTCAAATTTGCTGAAAATATAAGCAGCTGGAAGTGGCTTCTTGCAATATAAAGTGTTGGGTATCTCTTAAGTGCTTGCAGAGCCACTCCAGTAGCTGCTAAAGAGAGATGCTGGCAAAGTCTGATGTACAATGTGTCTACTCTGTCAGCACAAGAGATCTGTTTCTTCTGTCTGAGATGATAGATAATTCTCCTGATTCTCTTTCAAATGGTGTGACTATTGGCAGCTCTTACTGCTGCTGAGAGCTTTATGAGTGCTCAGCTCACTAAGAAGATGTGGAATCGCATTAGCTGAAAAGCAGTCTTAAAGATTAAGTTCAGGATGTAATATTAGGCGACCTGTTCTAGGTGCAGCAGAACCAGAGCTCTGCTTCTGTCTTTTGGATACAGTGAGAATATTTTTGTCTGAGATTTAATTTCAGCTGCATTAGAAAAGAAATGGGCAGTGCTGAGGGAGGTGATAGCATGAACCTTAAGGCTTGTAGTTCAGACAGATGCTGAAGAAGAGTCTGCTAGTCAGCCCCAGTGATGTTCATTTGACAATCCAAAGAGATCACCTGAGTGGCAGTGCTGTGTAGGTGAGGAATTGCTTTTTTAATGCCAGAAGAAAACCCTCCAAAGCCCAAACCATGTGAAGAGCAGTTGCAGGGCACACATTCATGTATGGCTGCAGTGAGACACATATCCCATGCTGGATCATACATTGAAAGGGAGACGAGTGTCTTCTGTCTTTGCATAGAGAACATGTAGGCTTGGGGGCTGAGGGAAAGCCATATAACAGCATGGCTTATTGCCATCTAAACTGGTGGCTTAAATTTTTCAGCAACTGTAGTAGTCATTTTGACTGAATCGTTTGCATGTGGCAGTGGGATTGGTTGCATTTTTCTGTGGGCATACCTTTAATTTTTCATTTTGTTTGAAGAAATCTCAGCAAAATGAGCTACCTTCACTGTTAGTTTCCTGGCCTTGTCTGCGTGTCTGCTTATTCCCTTTACAGTCTGTCCC